TTCTCATATCTATTAATCATCATATATGTGCTATTCCATTGGGTTAGTTCATCTAAATCAGAAACAAGAAAAGATTGTTCTTACATTTCGAAAATTTTTTTAAGCTCTTCGAAAATGGGTAGTGATCAATGAATATAATTAGTAGAATTGCGTAACTTTGTAATTGAATTAACAATAACTTGCATACTATCACTAATGGCAAGATTCAGCACATATGCTGCACAGCGAACATGTTCAAAATCATAATTGCCATAATTAGATTGGAGTATTCCATTTAATGTATTTCCAAATATAACCTTGCTTCTTGCATTGTCTGTTATTACAGTAAGAATTTTTGAACCAATTCCATAATAGGTAATTGTTTCAAATATTTTCTCAGCAATATAACTTCCAGTATGTCACTTATAAAGTGATACCATATCTAATAAAATTTTTGGTGAGCCCCGGTTTTCATTAATCCAGTGAAGCATAATAGCAAGATATCTAAGATTTGTGCATGAGGACCATATATCAGTTGTAATTGTATATTTATTTTGCATTGACATTAAAAGAGTAAGAAGCAAATCCTTTTGGTAGTTATATAAATCTAAAATGCTTTCGGAAATTGATTGTCTTGTTGGAAGTTGAAATCGTTGACCTAACGCTTAATAAATCCCTATTTTCAACAACTGAAAATGCTTGTTGATTTGTAATTATCCATCAAATAAGAAGTTCAATTAGATACATGACCTTTTCTTCATCTTTTTTGCCATAAGACTTAATATGTTTCGTTTGTAAAAATGGTGCATATGGGTGATTACATTTAAAATGCTCTTTAAGCGTGGTAATTCCAGTTGCTTTTGAATACTCAATTTTTCATCGTTTTGCCATACGTGATTGGGATGGGTTAATGCAGTTTCATTTGTGTTATCAGGTATATTATCATTTATTAATGTAACATTGTGATTATTATTTATTGAATTTATTTCTGTAAGATTTGTATTATCGACAGAAATAAGAAAAAACTTATCATTATCAAAAATTTTTTTTTTTGGCCATTTGGATTTATTAGAAAAATTATGACGAGTGAAACTAGAGCTATTTTGATTCAAACGCGTTATATATATACCTTTTTTTAAGCTCAAATTAACAAACGTGTTAAGCATGAAAAAAGCTTGTGCTTATACTCAGTTTAAATATGCTTTTTTGAAGCAATTCAACATCCCTACATCACATTAACGAATGCCGGGCTCCAAACTTTCATCTGGTACCATCCTTCAAGTTTTAAATCACCAAAGGATTTCAACATTTCCCACAATCGCAAAATTTTAAAATATTAATAATAAGAATTTGTTGTAGTTTATATATGTTCTAATAATAACATCTTGAAGCAAAGTAATTTTAGAAATCACGTGTTCATCATCCAGCTTTCAATGTCACATTATAATTATATTTGACATTTCAAAACCAAGAAAGTAATCAAAATGCTGAAAATTTATACATTAATGAATAATGAAATATTACTTTGATTAAAATAAACAAATAATTTTTCAACGTTAAAACTGCTAGTGATATCAATATATGATTGATACATTTCTATTTTGAATCTAACAAATAAATGCACATGATAATGTTTTATTAATCGAGACAATAAAAAAATTTTTCATTAAATTTTTAAGTTTCCCCTGTTTCTATATTTGATTCAAAGTGATTGATATTATGATCACATAGCTCCGGCCATGAGCATTTACAAATTCTATCTGGGTTGACAGTACGCAATGTAAGTGAGATTCTTTGACCACGATCCCTTATTTGTCCATTTTCTAATATATCACTCTTCCGAGCTCTTAAAGCAAATAAATACATATGTATTAAAAAACTATTGATTTTTTTAGAGAAATCTCAAGTTTAAATATAAGTACATACCTTATGGCATGACTCCAAGCATACCTTGCATCATCTTTAATGATCATTAAAGATCTTCTTGGCAAGTCAATATTTATCACTTTGTTGGTCTTTATATTTTTAAATTCCATTATGGCAGAACTTTCTAAACTAAATGCGATGACACTTGGACCAAAAGAAGAATGACTATCAATATGAGGTGGAATTCCCGTACCAATAGGATAAATCTGTATTGTTAATTGTTCTAATTTTGCTATTGATGGAAATAAATTTCTTAATTTCTCAAGTAATGAATTCATATAATATGGAAATTCCGTCAATTTCGTTCCAACTTGATTTAAATCGTAATTAAATGAATGTCCATAATGTAACTAAAATAATAATAATTGATATGTAATACACGTTTAAAAAAAAGACAATTCTGTAAGAAAAAATATATATATTTATTTATTTATTTATTAATGATACATACAACCATTCGATCTTGAACTGGAATCC